TAGAGTTCTCTCAGGAGTTTTCGGGTAACTGATCAAGTGACGGCGCCTTGTAGTCTTGGAACCTAGGTATTCCAATACCTAGGTTACAAGGTGTTGAACGAGAGAGGTTGCCTTAGGATCTCTGGAGGTGCTCTAGAATAGTTAGCTAACTGGGGACGGGATAACGGACAAGAGAGAGCTGTTTCCCCCGGCCTCGTTAGTTAACTGGGGGGTGGAATAATGGACAAGATAGAGCTATTTCCCCCCACCCCCCGTTACAATGATGGCAGCGGTGTTGAACAATGTTGTAGGTAGTTGGTGTTCTTTTAACATTGTTCAGTCCCACGTGTCTTTTTGCCGCTCAGGCGCTATCAGGGAGATCTTGACAGGTGTTTATTATTCGCGAGTTAGCGAACTTTTTTTCAGGCTAGGAGATAGTGATTCTCTAGTGTTGTGGTTTAGTGATTTTGTGAGTTTTGTGGTGTTCAGGGAATGTTCACCAGAACTTACGTGTGTAGTGATTTATGTTAGTAATAAGATTTGGCGATTTGGGAACTTAGCGGTGTTGGTAGTGCAGGTCAGCTGAGTGTGACAGGTGACCTCGCATGTCCCACGGGGACACCCAACCACCGCTGGTCTCCAGGTCAGTGGGGAGTGGCAGGTGTAGTTTTTAAGTAGTGGTTCTGCTCAGATTATTGCGATCGACTGTTTTACTCCATTTGAACGCAATAACCCGAGGTGTACTGGTCTTGTACAGCATGCTAGGGGGAGGCTTAGTATGTCAGTAGACTTCACGTTGGGGACGCTCGACGTTAGATAGTCTGGTCACAGGGGTGGCAACAGTTTTGAGTTGTTGACCGGCGGAGAAGCTAGGAAAACACTCTGGGTCACGTAGGTGGCTGTAAGTTAAGGGTGGGAGTAACGGTTAATTATATACTTAAGATTAGGAACGGTATAGTTAAGTTAGGCTAGTGTTTGGTCTATTAGTTTTGATATTTATTGTGGAGATTGGTTTAGTGACAAATTAAGTAGTGATGACCTTATTCTCTCTTCTCTAACTTTCCTCTGTTACTGTCTTATGTTCCACCAAGTCAATATCATTCAGAGTTAATTGAATTATTAAAAATTGAAGTGTAGTTGTTGCCAGGAGGAGAGCGGTATGATAGGACTGTGTAACCCTATACAAACGACAGGGTCACACAAACATCTTGGGAACACGTATTGTCGCCTTTCGGTTCATTTCACAGGTGGGAGCCAGAAGAGAGGAGAGACGCACATACAGAAGAGGGAGACGGCTGCCTTATACCACACTCACGGCTGTTCCTCACCACCACGACGACCAGCCCCTACCTGGATGTCAGGGCCACCACCACCACCACCACCCCAGGGGACCCCAAGATGCAGCCCTCTCGGTCGGTCAACATTGGTCTACCCAGTGGACCCCAAGACGGACGGACCCCAGTGGACCCCAAGACTGACGGACCCCCAGTGGACCCCAGGTCGTTCTGCAGACGACCCCAGACGACCCAGTAATGATGGAAGAGGAGCAACAACGACTCCAGTCTGTCCCACCAACATCGGTCTACCCAGGATGGACCCCAGGACGGACAGACCCCAATGGACCCCAGGTCGCTTGTCAAAGACCCATGGGAGGAGGAAGAGAGAAGAAAGAAGAAAGAAGAGAAGAAGAAAGAAGAGAGAAGAAAGAAGAGAGAAGAAAGAAGAAGATAAGCCAAGCTGAGACACGATACCTAGTGTCCCTTGCTGGTGTCAGCATTATTGCATGGAGCGTAATTGCAAGACAGGATCGTTTGCCTTGACTGGCCGCCCCTCCTACAAGCATGTTGCTCTGTTGAGTGATTCTTCCTGTGTCATGCGGACTTGAGGTGGCTGTCAGAAGTAGCTCTCTGAAGGAGGCGTGCTGGAGCAACAGGGAGGAAGAAGAGTAGGATGGGATTTCTACTGTTGGCAACTATATGAAGGTCTCGAAACTTGTAGTCCCTATAGCTGTGAAGAACCCCAATATACGTCTCTCATGGTGACTGACGTAGGGCCAATTACAGATCAGCTGGGACAACCGAATTCCACGGTCCTGTGCTCAGTTCAAGTAGTAACGGCTTTCGGGTTGACCAAGTGTTGTTGTGCGTTAACGACGGAGAAGCGACGGAGGCAGTTGTGTTGAAGAAATGTGGTACAGGATTATCTACAAGACCAAGCAGTGACGTCGCCCAGCCAGAGACAATGGACGTCTGTCTACATATTTCATTTTTTAGAGTAGGATGATGTATATTTGTTTAGCTAGGATGTATTTTTTTTTTCCTTAATAAAGTTGTCGCACACAGCTAGCTTGCTTTAGCAGTGTTGCAAAAACTTTATTTCGGGGAGAAGGGGAGATGTAACACTATAAAAGTGTTTGAGTTAGTTTATTTAAAATATATATAGAGTACATGAGTCACAGACAAGGATCTGAGAGGCGCCAGTTGTCTGCCTGAGATCTCACACCTCTAACCGTTAACGACCCCAAGTGACCTGAGGTCAGATCATGAGAATTTCACCTTGCTTCCGCTAAGCTTATAATTGTAGTCTGGTAGCCTTCAAACATGCCGACGTTTAAGGAGTGGCTTGGTAGTGCCGGAGGCTATCTATTTGTGGGCGGAGTTAGCTACTAGGTTCCCCAATATAAACTCGGAGAGCTATCCAGCAGAAAGCATTAACAGACAGAGCAGCAGACGAGCCAGGAGAGCAGAGAGAAGACAGCCCTATCAGGGAGGCTGTCGGCCGGCAGGGGCGAGACAGTCTCTGTCAAGCTACAGACCCCCCCCCCCCTCTCTATTCAACTTAGACTCCGTCCTCGGTGAGTGAACAGTGAGGTGACTTGGTCGTGTTTACATATGTTGTGTGATGATCAGGGGCAGTCAAGTTGTAGGGTTCTCGAATTCTTGGATGATGACTCACTTTGCATATTAAACTGGAACATTTTAATTGAATTAGCATCATCAGTAAGTTTGACTTTTTTTGTGGTCCTCAAATAAAATTAGTTTCTTGTCTTTTGTGTTTTATGAAATCCAAGACCTTATCTGCAATAACCGTATATTTTGTACATAGATAATTTAAACAACTCTCCAATCACAATGTTCAGTATTGTTCACAATACTGAACAATTTGGAGGATCCAGACAACTTCTTTAAAGGTCAGACGTAACATAAAGAACAATGGTTTTAAGCTCAGCAAGCAACAATGTAGCACTGAAAGCGAGATGCTTTTTCACCAATAGGGTTATACACCCATGGAACCACCTACCTGCAGAAGCTGTAAATGCCAAAACTCTGTTGAATTTTTAACTCGGCTAGAAAAAATCATCAGCACAAATGGGGGACCTTTGACAAGCCACTGTATTCCTGTCCTCATTGAGACCACTAGTGTTAGTGGTCCTCAGGTAAATTCAGGTAAAAAAAACTTCAATCCTAATGCACTTTCCCTCATACTTCAACCACTTCCTAAGTATACACTGTAAAGTGTACCTCCCATATAATATCAAGATTCAACTGATTAAAATCTTTTATATAGTACTCCAAGATCACTGTCAATTCCCTCTTTTAATGGCCAGCTATCTTGTCTCTTAACTATATACTTTACAGTATATTATTTCACGTCTAACATCTTCATGAAACAATCATCCAATTATCATTCAACATTAGTGTGGTTTTACGTTATTACAGCGGTACCTCGGTTTACGAACTCCCCTGTTTACGAACTTTTCGGGTTACGAGCCCGATTTGTTAGGAAAATTTGAATCGGGATACAAACTTTACCTCGGGATACAAGTTTGTTGATACACGTACGGCTGACCTAGCGCATGATGGCACGGCGATCGCACCTCAGTTTACCAGTGCCTCGTGCCCAGTGACTATTCCGCCTGAATTCTTCACAAGAATTTACAGTTTCTTTTCGGATTTTTGGCTATTTGAGCATAAAAGTTGTTATTACCAGTATATATCTCGCCATGGGTCCCAAGAAAGCCAGTGGTAAGGTTCAAGGCAAGAAAACACATGTAAGAATGACCATAGAGAAAAAACAAAAGATCATTCGTAAACATGAAAATGGTACTCGTGTTGTTGAACTAGCTAGGCAGTACAGCAAATCATCAGAGGAGGAAGAGGAGGGAGTAGAGAAAGTTCCTTTCCTCATTAATTAAGAAAATATGTGCAGTATGGGAAGGACTGCAAAGTTTTGCTGAAAAGAATCACCCAGAGAAAGTTGTACAGGTAGTAGGCCTTTGCATTAATCTTTCCAATGACATTGTGATGCCTCACTACAGTCAAGTGTTGCAAATCAGGGAAAAACAATCTTCAATGGAACGTTTCCTTGTGAGAAAAGTGAGAAAATCAAGCAGTGAGCCACAACCAGGACCTAGTGGTATGCAGGCAAAATGTGCCAGAGAGTCCACTCCAGAGAAATCTTCACTGCCTGATGTTATAATGGAAGGGAACTCCCCTTCCAAACAGTAACACCTCTCCTTCTCCCCACTTCTCACCATCTTACATACGCAAACAGGAGTCATCAGCAAGGGTAATTAATAACTTGAACATACTTTTGTGGTGAAGATTTGAGCAAATTAGGTATAAAATTTACTTTGAAGTGAAGTTTTTTTGGGAGTCGGGAACGGATTAATTCATTTACCATTATTTCTTATGTGGAAAATCGCTTCGGTTTACGAATTTTTGGGTTATCAACCGTCTCCAGGAATGGATTAAATTCTTAAACCGAGGTACCCCTGTACACAGGAGTGTAATAACGCAAAACGTCTCATAACAAAAACTAATCAACTTTCAGCCAACCTGCAATGTTTATTACTTTTGGACAGGCTATAACAGTCCTGCAATTGAAAATACTGTACAACTGAAAACAGTTGATGAGAAGAGTGGAGAAAACCTTTCACCAGCCCCTGACATCCAGGCTCCACGATGGCTCCAAAAGACAGTTGTCAGAATAACATATAAAATACCAGATGTAGTACTAACCTAATAGGGATATATGGAGGATGGTGATGGAACATTTTGGTTGTGACGGGGATTCTTGGTACTGGTGGTAAGATTCGGAACATGCAGCAAGACCCACAGATGCTGAAAAAACAAAAGATAAACCAAGATGTCTAAGCAGTCAGAATTGTACTTCAACATACTGTACTTGCAATCGTAAAGAAAGAAAAAGCATACTTGGATATTTTATATGAATAATAAGATAGCCGAGATTAGAAGCAAAAATGGCAAGAAATTTTTAATTTTGTGAGCATAAAAAACAGGATACACAAATTTAAAATTCAACCTTATTTTGAAATTCTTGAATGTTTCATTTAATAACCACACTTCACTCATTGTAAAATTGGACACTAATATTACACACTGATCCTTACAAAAAACTAATTATCAGTTGTATACAATGTCAAATTAAGTACCAAATGCATATTATTAAGGAGATTAAAATATGGGTGTAAAAACTATAACAAACTAATTATGTGAGTAAAGTTGCAAACAATAGACTGAAGTATTTGTGAAGTAATTTAATTAAAAGTGATTATTGTACTAGGGTAGTACAGTACATAAATACCTTTGCAGGCCTAGATGTATGGCAAGGAGTAGGCAGTAGTGGGGGAACATATACATTTAGAGTTTGCAGACAATGAATCTCAATAACATGGCTGATGATACAATGACCAAACCACACACCAGATGATGAGGAGACGTCGACATTTTGGTTCGTCATGGACCATTACCAAGTTGATTGTGATCCAATCGACTTGATAATGGTCCAGGATGGACCGAAGCTCTCCTCATCTTCTGGTATATAGTTTGATTATCATGTTTGCTTTTCAGTTTGGTGGCCCATAAATGGACAGAATGAAGTGCGCTGCCTGCTGTATGACAATACAAGTGAAGTTATTATTTTGTAGGAATATAAGTAATGTTATATTATTGATAGACTGAAAAGCTGGGATGATAGTAAAATTGCCAGTGAGTGTATGATGGGGTTTTGGCAGCTTTTAAGAAATTATATTGTCTTCAGTATGACTACTTGCCAGTAACGAATGACAGCAAGATGGCTGCAAGCGAGGAGCTGTGTGTGGTTGGACATCCTGGCTCGTAGGCTAATGATTGCAAAGTGGCTAAATACTGTTCTATTTATATCATAGACCGCTGGTTGACCTTATTAATATTATTACTGTAGAACTCTTATATGTATACAGTACTGATAAGCTTTAAGCATTACTGGAAGACCAGGCATCTCATATTGTATTAACTGGCAATGAATTAGTTATTTCACAGTGACGTTTGTGTCATTTATTATAACCTCCATCTGTCCTGCTAAATGGACTCTGGTTACTGTAGAGTTTATATATGACTGTTTATACTCTATACCAAAATGAGTTAATGAAAGACCAGGGGCCTTAAATATTATTGTAATATGAAGAAGTTGGTTTCACCATGTTGTTGTTTCTTAGTGAAATTCTGTCTGTCCTGTACCTTGGATTCAAGAGATGGCTGAATTACTGAACATTTCTTATTATAAGGTTTAATAAAGTTAAGTATTACTTCGGAAGCTTCATTTCTTCCATAAAGGGGGGGGGGGGTCAACTAGCCATACTAGACTAACTTTATTTAACTGGGGGCAGGGCCTTGTTTTGGATGACTTTAAGGGAGTCGTAGCACTTAATTACCACACACTTGTGAACCACACAGCGATAGTCATGAATTTGGCTCGGTCAACTTTTATCCATCTTGGTCAATTGTAATCAAGCCTATCGACACTAATCTCTACAAAGGGTCACCTGCTGAACCCTAGTCACAGTTTGTATGCGATTCCCCATTTCTACTTCATGCTTAAGTTCCTCATGATGCTCCAGCTCTTCAAAGTTTTCTGTGGTCCAACCTTCCTTTTACTCGGGTGTACCAAGATTTGAAATTTTGACATCTAAGGTATGAGGATCATATACCCGAAGCGAATCTAGCTCTCTCGGAATATGGCTCTACTGCTGCTTCCTGGCTATCAGATCCCGGCTTCCTCCTAGCTGGTAAGTAATGTTTTGTTTTTCCCGGAAAAAGGTGGCTGGGTTGTCAATCTCAGGTGCTCAAGTGTAAGGCATATTACCACAGTCTTTAATGTATTTCGTGTGAGAACTGTTCAACTTCTCGAATTGGGCTCTGAATATACCAGCTCTCCATTGACAAGTGACTCTTGTGCATGTCTAGGAGTGCATTTCTAGGTTATTCCAGGTTACCCCCATGAACAGTCTCTTTGTTTCAACTCTCCTTCATTCTTTTATTTCTTGAATCCGAGATACGTAAGATACTGGAAAAGTTTAGCTTACCCTTCAGCTTTTCTCACAGTAGGTGGCTCGAGGGGAAGGGGATGGGGGAGTATATGCCTGGTGGGTTAAGGAGGGGTGGACATTGGTTTGATTATGATGTGGATTGCGGTGTACGGTGGGGTGAGTGGTGTGGTGTTTACAGTGCCACAGTTTGAGTACTCAACCTAATGTGGAAATACCGGTAGTTAAAGTTTCCAGAGATGTTCCTAGAAAGATGAATCAATACCATTAGAAACAGCTACAGAAGCCTGTATGAAACATTACCCAATGTATCTTTGAAGAAAGCATATGTATCTGGGTTCCTTATTGTACTGGCAACATAAGCTGCTGAAGCAGAGTTCTTGCTGAGGGTATCCTTTAATATGTTTACTAAATCTCTTATTATGTCCGAGTCATAAACCACATCTGAAAGTTTAATACACAAGTTTAAAAACAAAAACCATTGAACAGTCTTATCATATGTAACATTACAGTATTTCAAAGCGATGACAAAGCCCTCACAATGCCATTATTAAAACAGTGTACCAACAACTAGAACATTTACCTGCAGCAAGAATAACATCAACATCACAATCACAAGAATCACTTGCCCAATCTAATTTTTTTATTTGCACATCGATGTCATTGTATTTTATGGTAACATCATTTGCCTGAAACATTGAATTCATCTGAATTTTATACATTACATAGTAGAACATAAGTACCGTATGTGCAATATGCCAAACTCTCAGCAAAGGGACCGCAACCTGGCCAATCCTAATATGAAACAAAATAGTAGAAAACAGAATTCATGATACAGCACATTATCTTCAGACATGTCACTGCCACTGTCCTTACCCAGTCATTAACAGTGGATGTTTTGTCATTATCATATTGCATAGAGTCAAAGCCTCTTCCAGCAAGATTAAGTTGTATGTTTTCTGATAAAGTCTTGAGGACAGTCGGGTGAATGTCAGTAAAGGTGTACGATAAGGGTTTACACCTACGGAGAACTGTTAGGCCCAATAGACCTAAACCGGCACCGAGCTCTAGAATATTTTTATCTTTAAAATGAGCAGATTCTTTGCAACACCAATCTGCTAAAACACGACTAGCCTGCAAAAGACAAACCGACTTTAGTTCAAAGACTGTTTTAACATAAAAATAAAAAAGCTTCTAAAAAACCCAGCGAGATTTACATGCAATTTAAAATGTTGTGACAATAACATTGCCAAGTAGTGTAGTATTGCATACTGATGCAATACTGCCATTAGAAATTATCTTCTGAAGTACTGTATCATCTTAAATATCTGCAACAGAATTCTTTATCCTGATTATATGAAAATAACACCACCTTAAAGCTCACGGAGCACGGATACAATAATAGTACATTACAAACCTCCCAAGTACACAGGCCTGTTGTGCCATCACAAATGAGTTTGCACGTTTCCTTTAGCGTGATGACACCATTGTCCTCCAGGTTGTAGGTTCGGAAGCAGTATTTACTGCACTGGGTCGAAGTATCTTGAGAGAGCATTTTTGTGTATGTCATGTAAAGTTCTTCACACACTTCATGGTTGCTAACCTCGATCTGTAATAATTGTAATATACAGTATGTCACTACATTCCCCGCATTGATTTTAAATGGCATATGCTTATTATCAAACATGTTTACAGTATGTTATTAAATTTTGTAATAGACATGTAGACAGCTACTCATCACCAAATATGGGTATGGGTATACCTGTTAGGGACATTAAGCCTGTGAATGGTTTGTTGAGGGCCCTTAAACAAGGACGAGGTTGTGGCCAGGTGGTCACATGTGCAGCTACTGGTTAAGCCCAAGATTAATGTTAGCTTGACTGATCAATTGACAATCCCATTGTCCTCAGCAACACACCAACAATTAGATAAATAGATAAATAAATAAATAGATAAGATATATACATGTATATATGTAATGCATTACTTTATACCTGATGAATGAGTGCTTTGAGGAATAAGCGAGTGTAGGCCAAAGTCACAGGGTATTTTTGAGCAGTTGGGTGTTGAACAGTACTGGTGAGAAGTCGTTTCTGGAAATCCATTGATTCATCATACTTGAGAGACGTTAGCTGTGCCTGGATACCCTGGAAAGCAATCAAATGAGAGAAGAGCATTAAACTGGTATCAGTAAGGGCTTTCCCTGGTGTCAACTAGCTCCTTTCAGCTATCCACGCTTTTCTAAATTAAATTATTAATTGAAGGCAAGGTAAAGATATACTGTATTAGGCAAAGTTAGGTTAGCCAAAAATTATGATGGGTGCATGAAAAGTCACCCATAATTTAATCATCATAATCTAACTTTAACATAGCCATAATAACCTAACTTATTCAGGAAATCCAAAGCAGTATTGCTAACTGGAAACAGCAACTCACCCTCATAATAGTTATGCTAAGTTGCATATGGTACATGGCATGTCAAAAGCAACACCTAAATGAAGTTCATGGACTTTACAAGATAATGATATACACAGAGAGTAATCACACTAACGTGACTGCATCAATGTGTTCAGAAGATGTGACTGCATCAGTGTGTTCAGAAGAACTTCAGGTTGCAATCCTTATCCATGTTGTGGTCTAGTCGCTAGAAGCGTGTGCGTGGGAACACCCACTGCATAGGTTCGAACTCTCATCACTGCTCCTACGGATTTTCTCAAGATAATGATATTCTTGATAAGATAATGATAAGCCTGGGAACATGTTAGTTGGTAATGTGAGAACTCCTGAATGCTATCAAATCTTGTTTGTATACGACTGTCTAGCAAGATCTACAATACTTATATTACATATTTAACAATACAGTAGTTAAATAATCTGTAAAGAATACAATTTATTCTTCTAGATGGTTTACTATTACTCTTGATAAGAGTAATTGCATAGTACAGTACTGTAATTTAATTTCCGCAACATTCCAACGACACGGCAAGTATTCAGTGCCTTTATATTTGTAATACAAAATTCTAAAAATCTTGGAATTAAGTACCGGTATTTTAATTTCTCTATTATACTATACAGGTCACTATTCTAACAACAATTTGTTGGCTGCCATTTATTAGGAATAATATACTGTATTACCTCAATAATGGTAATTAATTAAATTGGATGGAAATTAAAGGAGGTAAGGTGTAAATCGAGAATACTGTATACCATTACCATCGGCAAGCTGGTGCTTGTCGTAAGCCAGTTCGTTAAGTGTTTCCTTTAATTTGCTCAAACATGATTGCTCCTGGATTAGAAAACAAAAATTAGAAAGACTTTTGGGCATGTTCCTTTGCACCCAATACCTCTGTTCACCTAGTAGCAAATAGGCACCTGACAATCGTTTGATTGTTGTATAGGTCATATCCAGGAGGTCAGTCATTAGCTAGCTGGAGTTTGATAAGCCCAACAGGCTTCCTGTGTATGACGGTGAGAAACCATAATCTAATATTTCATTTGTTTGCCTACCACCAAGCTTTTATTCTTATATTATCTCATGTAATTAGGATCATTCATTATAATTTACTGTGGCATTATCATTATGATAAATCTGAGATAAAAGATAAATTTACTTATTGAATGTGCATCTTTGTAGCGCACATCTATTGTCAAACAAATGCATTAGGAGTAAACCGACACCCAGGAGTTAGGTAACTGTTGTGGGATGTATCTTGGGGGATGTTGAGACCAGAAGACATGGCATGAGACCAGAAGACATGGCAGGATGTGCAGAATACCCCCGTTGAAAAGCAGAGGTGCAACAGGTACTCTGAGAGAGAACTCTATCAACATCAGAGGCCCGAGACTGTTCAACACGCTTCCACTACACATAAGGGGCATAACTGGCAAACCCCTCACAGTGTTCAAGAGAGAACTGGATAAGCACCTCCAAAGGATACCTGATCAACCAGGCTGTGACTCATACGTCAGGCTGCGAGCAGCCGCGTCTAACAGCCTGGTTGATCAGTCCAGCAACCAGGAGGCCTGGTCGACGACCGGGCCGCGGGGACACTAAGCCCCGGAAGCACCTCAAGGTAGCCTCAAGGTATGTTCCATACTTTGCATAGGATGACTTAGATATGCCTAAGTATGGGCTTCCTGACCTCAGCAACATGTTATCTGTTGGAAATGACTTATTTGATTAATCCTGTATCGTTTCAATTTTTCCCAAACACTACACGAGGTAAATCTCATTAAGGATATAAAACTTATTAGGTTAATAAAGACTTGGACTTGAGACTTAGGCCAGGCTACACAGTCAGACAAGATAGTGGGGTCCAAGAGGAAGATAGAGGAGCTGCCTCGTATGGGCCAATAGGCCTTCTGCAGTTATCTTTGTTCTTATGTTCTTATGTTCTAAGATCTTACTCTGCCTGTGATCAAATTTAAATAGGATTTTAACATATTAAAGCCATGTAGATGCAAGCTAGCATTATGTAATGCATTTAAAATATGAATGAATAACAAATTTATGTGAAGTAATCTGATGGCCATCATTTATATAGTGGCCTCAATGGGGACAGAAAGCTGGCGGTTTGTCAAAGGTACCCTCATTTTTCGTGAGAATTTTTCTCAACTGGATTTTTAACTACAGTAATGTCTTGCCATTTATGGCTTTGGCGGGTAGGCAGTTCCAAGGGTTTATAGCCCTATGAGTGAAAAAGCATCTCCTGCCTGTTTTACATCCTGCATTGTGGCTTGTTGAGCTTGAAGCTGTTGGTCCTTGTATGTTATATTTGATCTTTTAAAGAAATGGTGTGGATAAATATCCCCTAATTTGTTCAGTGTTTTATAAGTTTCCATGAGATCTACCCTGTGACCCTTAACCTGTCCTGGTATTCGAGAGCATCACCCATGAAGTGGATGGCAAAGTTGTACATAAATTTATATATCGTAGGTTTCTCTGCTAGCTTAGGTTGGGTAAAGATAGAGAGGTTTTCAAATTAGCTGATAAACTGTCTTTGGTATGTGGCTTGTATCAGTGGTCAATTGGAAAGCTGTTAGGTTGGGGTGTGGTTTTAGTGGAGCGATTCATCAGAAAACTTATTCAATTGTTCAATATTTATCTCTAAATCTTCTTTGCTCCACCAGGACCTTACTAGCTAAGGGCACTCGGTACACCACTGTTTCATGGGAAGAAACATTATACCTTATGTCACCCTAACCTGAGCTTAGAGATGAACCAATTTACCCACCTTCCAAGTGATATCTTTCAACGGATACATTCGTAAATACTTCCACGAGAGTGTCTGGAGTTCCTGAAGCATGGTTAATATCCACGAGTGTGTGTATGGAGGAGCGGTGACCTGGGCCACGTGGCTGTGTTGACATATTGATGTTGACATGCTTTCGTCATGACGTCATAGACAACAACACGATTCTATTTGATCTTTATTTGCTAAATATATACATGAGATTTTGCTATAGTGATGTATAACATTTTTAGATCAACTTTTTAGTAGCTGTAGTGGCAAAAGTTATCTAATAATTCTTATGAATTGTTTGCATGACAACTTGCCGATGAACGATAATAAACGATTCTTGTCCGCTTAGAGTGGAGTTTGCCGGAGTCTTCTATCAGAGATCTAATAGATCTCATATTCTCACCTGTGGTCATTCTCGAACCCATTGTTGATGTGACGACTTATACTGAATTTTGTAACTAGTTCATCAAGATTGTAACTTCCTTAGCTAAATGAATTGTGGGGTTCAGTCCCTGAGCCCATTATGTGCCTCTGTAACCCTTTCCACTACCGCTCACAAGATGGGTATGGGGTGCATAATAAATGAACTAAACTAAAACTAACTCACCTGATTCCATGTATGACTGACTTCCTGAGAAGTTGTGATATATAGATTAATGTATAGCTGGCTTTTGATCTACACTTTGTAATCTTTCATATAGAATAGGATAGTAGCACATTGCTGTGTATACCTAAGCTTGTTAATAAAATAATAGACAATTCAATTTCTTTATTATGCACCCCATACCCATCCCGTGGGCGGTGGTGTAAAGGATTACAGAGGCACATAATCGGTTCAGGAACTGAACCCTCTAGCTCATTTAGCTAAGCAAATAAAAAATTTTGACGCTAGTTACAAAAATATTAATGTTATATATACATGTACACACCCTCATACATACATGTACATATATATATATACGTATACATATATACATACACATACATATCTAATCACCCACACAAATACACACATCAATAAATAATCTTTTGTGACACAAGTGATTCAACAAGAGGCTCACAACAGTCACCATCTGTGGCTAACTGCCAACAAACTCACCCTTAACATTGACAAAACTTTCTATATTCTGTTTGGCAATAAATCCTCTAATCAAATAAATCTCAAAATAAACAATACCCAAATTTGTAACAAATTAGATGGCAAATTCCTTGGCATTCTCATTGACCACAAGCTGAATTTCCAGGGACACATTCTAAACATATCAAAAAAAGTTTCAAAAACTGTGGGCATTCTTTCTAAGATCAGATATTATGTACCACGCCCTGCCCTGGTGACTCTCTATTACTCCCTTATCTATCCATATCTCAACTATGGTATTTGTGCTTGGGGCTCTACTACCCAAAATCACTTACGTCCTCTAATTACTCAACACAAAGCTGCTATTAGGACAATATCCAATTCTGGCCCCAGACATCACTCGGTACCCCTACTCAAATCTCTGAATATGTTAGACATTAAGTCACTGCACATTCTCTCATGTGTATTATACATATATAAAACGCTAAACTATAATGCCAATCCTGATCTCAAAAGCTTCATAGAAGGTTGTAACAGAACCCATGAGCACCACACCAGAAATAAATAGTTTTGATATTCCTAGAGTACGACTTAATCAAACTAGAAATGCTCTACAAATCAAGGGGCCCAGAATGTGGAATGACCTTCCCAACCATGTTAAAGACTGTACCTCTCTCAACCAGTTTAAGTTAAAAACGAAGCTATACCTAATAAATTCCATGTAACCTACCTTACCCTTCTATTGTTCAACCAATGTCTGTTTTTCTTTAAAGAGCGCTGTTTGTCGACATAATTGTATTTGTGCTGCTTTTTCATCTATGTTTTCATTTCTTGTTTTCATTCTACTCATTATGCTCAATTAGTATTAAGCTTGTCATTTAAGTTTATCATGCCCGAAACGCTTTGCGTAATAGTGGCTTTAGGCATTGTATGTACTAGCTCTACCTATAAGTCAACCAATCCTTGTAAAAATTTATTGTATGTATGTACCTTACCTAAATAAAATTGTATTGTACTGTATTGTATTGTACTATACAAGGCACTTTACATCTATAGTGAGTCACACAGTTACTAGTCTTGCTGCCCACCCTCCCAACTGGGCGGCAGCTTTACAGTCATGTGCTCCACACCCACCAACTGGGCGGCAGCCTTACAGTCATGTGCATGCATTACCTACAGTAAGCAAATTTTGGATACTTCGCTAAGATTTCGGGCAGCACATCATTATGAATGAAGTACTTACACATGTCTTAGAGAGGAAATCATTCAATATCTCAAGGTTCACAATCTAATAAAGTCAACCTAACCTCCTACCTGAGGGCCATTAACCCACTAGTGGCCTCGACGAGGACAGGAAGCCGGCGGCATGTCAAATATACCCCGGTTTACCCTGATAATAGCTGGATTTTAAAATTTAACTGTGTTTTGGCATTTACGGATTCGACGGGTAGGCGGTTCCACGGATTTATAACCCTGTGGGTAAAAAAGCATCTCTTGTTTTTAGTCCTGCATTGTGGCGTGTTGAGCTTGAATGTTCATTAACATAACCAATATATTTGTTTGCAAAAAATCAACATATTTATTATTTAAATAATATTATACTGCCCGAAACGCTTTGCGTAATATTGGCTTTAGGCATTGTATGTACTAGCTCTATCTATAAATCCATCAACTTTTGTATCTTACCTTGTATGTATGTACTTTACCTGAATAAAAATTTGTAATTTGTTGTATAAAATAAAAGTGCAATAATTGTCTGGTCAGCGTACGACAGACCTTCAAGGGTCGAGCAGGTCACTTCGTACATGGGACGACTCGCATACAGTTTAAAGAACCTAATATAGCTCCCTCGGCCCATGTGATGAACATCGTGCAGCTGCCTCACAACAGCTGAAAATATGACCCATACAGTCATGACATAAACATGATTAATGACATGATTAAAGTACAACTTTCCCAGTTTTTTTTTTTTTTTTTTTTTTTTTTGCAAGCGCGTGTACGAAGTGTACGAAGTGGCGGGCAGCACCATCCCGGGTGTTCGGTGTGTTCAAACAGGGAGGGTTGAGGGCGGCCTGGCGCTCCTCTCGTTATTTAACACCACTTTTAGCCAGCTTGGTGGGCGTGATGAAGCCCGAGGAGCTCTTCTCCAAGGAGGTGAGCATGTCGCCGCAGGTGTTGAGCGCCTTGTTGCGGGGTTTCTGTGATGGAGAGAACGACTGACGGGTAGTTAGTGTACCCGTCCACTTGTTTATATTAGCACTAGATTTATTTATTTATATATATATAAACAAGAAGGTACATTGGGTTTGTGAGAGTACATAACAAGATGTGTTTAGATTCTTGTAAAGCCATTAGTACGCAATTATAGATTGATTGATAAAGATTTAGCCACTCAAAAGGTGGCACGGGCATGAATAGCCCTTAATGTTAGTACCAGAGATTAGCAGAAGACTGCCCACTGTGGTCAGCAGGAGACCGCTCGCAGCGATCAGCAGATCACTTACGGAGCACTAGGCAGGTGGTATAAAGCAACGCAGTGACACCTCGAAATGTCACGTGGGTCGCAGATGCCGTTTATCAATCGCCTATGGTCACTCATTGGCCACGGCCAATGAGTGACCAGTGATAAGAGAGTTTTAGCAAAAAAAATAGTATTGAAAAGATATATATTTGTACTATATAAGTTCTTATTCTAAAATGATGAGAAATGGTATGCATATATTAGTGGCTTTGCAAGAATATATTACCAATATTTAGAATAAGTGTTTGTTAATAAATGACTAAATGTTGCAGGTGTTGCTATGGCGATATGTGCGAGCCTTGGCGTGCCTGTTGCTGCTGCAGGTCGTGGCCCCGATGGCTGTGTGCAACCTGTACCATACAGTTGTTGCCCAGGGAGTTTGGAATCCAGTTACCATCGTCTCAAATCTTGTAACGTCGTGCATCTATCCAACGAAACTGATGCGTCTGGTGGTTCCTGCCGTGTGTTTTGTCTTGCTGGCAAGAGTCCACATTAAGTCGTACGCTGGTATGTGTGTGTGTGTGTGCATGTCTGTTGAGAATTAATGAGGTTATTGAATTGGTTACAAATATATCTTCTGAATCTGTGTTAAGGATTGCATACCAAAAATCTATTGCATATGCTCTCTATATTTCTTAGTGTTGTCTAAGTATCTTTACATGTTCATATAAATATCATACAGAAGTTAATTTTTTTACAAACAATTACCGTACATCAGTTTTGACATGTTCTTGAAGTTACTTAAGATCAATTTTATTTTTGCATTAATTTATCATTATTGCACAGAGTAATTGCACTAACATGACTGCAACGATGAGAAAATCCGTAGGAGCTATGTTAGGTTCGAACCCTTATCACTGGTCTTACGGATTTTCTCATATCATTATTATTATTATCCAATTTCTCAATTTTGTTTAGTTGCGAACATTTGTAACCTCAAAAATTTGTACGTCTTTCTAAGTAATAATATCAAATTTCAGAATTCCTATTGGATCACCCAGCTAAAATTCTAATTTAGAATTAGATTTGTTGATGTTCGCCATGAAATCTGGATCGTTGTTGTATTTAGACTACTAATTTCCAGTGGATTGTATTTGTCCATGTTTTTGTTGTTTTTAGTAACAAATATTAAAACAATTAAGCAATGCTCCCTCAGTTACTGCAGACACTATGGTCTGGTCTCTAGTTGACCTGAGTCCTGCAGTGACAACAATTTTTTCCTAATACCAAAAAACAATATAATGAACTCTGCACCCTCTCTGAGAAATAAATGAAAACAAAAAATAGCATTCATGCCTTTCCTAACTACCAATTGGCCAACTGCTTACTTCTCTAACTGCCACTAGAGGGCAACAGCCCCACCACCACAAGAGGGGCTGACAACCGTCATCTGTTTTGACCGAGACTAAAATATTGAGATGCCTCGTCTAAATCCTTTCCCGAGTTTAGCACACAGCACTACAGTACAGTACTTTGCTTGCTGGCAGACATTTACTCATTATGAAAAATCCAAAGTCAAATTTATAAAAATTACTGTGTAATGAGAGGTCACACCATGCTGGCGCAGGTAAAATGCTCGTCGCTGAGACAAGTCCTGTTAAAGTACAGTACTGTTATGGCTATGGCACACTTGGAAAAAATCATAAATACAGGACTGTTTTTTAACATTTATGATAAGAATTAAAGTACAATACAGTATAGCAAAACATTCCTAAATGTGTTTTTTATTAATGTAGTACTGTACTGTGCAGTACAGTATATACTATTGTAAAAAATTTGAACAGAATTAAGCGTTTATGCTTCCAGGGGCTATTAAATTGAAATTGTGATTTGAATTACAAATTATTCCATAAAATCAAGATTTGTTCATTAATAAATTCTTTCCAACAAATTACTGGTGATATAAAACCGATGCCGTTCTGTATAGATTCCTGCATGTAATACAATCCTGGTACAGTACTGTATTCTAATATGAATATGGTTGGTGCCTTATAATCAAAAGATTCCAGCCCAAAAACAAAAAACCCATTCATTCCAGTATGCACATGGACTGAACTTCATAATAACATGAAACAAAATTTTTAAATCTAGAATGTTTCTGTAAAGTTCATTCATAAATGAGTGTTTGTGGTAGCTTGGAGCATGCTTAAGTGTTCAAATGGTTGTAAATATCATGTAAAAATTGAAAATGGGGTTGACAACACACCTAACATCCTCTTGGGTATCCATTAAATAATATAGTGTGTGTGTTTTGTAATACATAAATAATATAATATTTACACATTGTGAATTTTAACCTTTCAGTGAGTGCATGGGTGCCGCTTAACCGCTGGGAGAAGTGGAGACGAATTCTTTCCCTGACGGTACTCTTCAGGAGTGGCCTCATTATGATTGCTTGTGCACTATTGGCGAACTTTTATACGTCCCTCGCACACCCTGACTTCCCCTTCTTTTTAAGGGCATGTATGCCTGGGTAAGTTATACTCCATTTCTCTTGGAGGGTGAAACTTAGCCATGTCTGGCTAAGTTGATACCCCGTTCTCAGGGGATAAAGTAGCACAATTGTATATGAATGTCTCGACTAACTAGCATTGCAACAGACTGACAAATGTAAAGATATTAATGCCACCAAAACCATAATGTTTATATTATATATGACTGAGTGTGTTTTTGCTGTATTTTTGGCAATAAAACTATTCTAATCTGTAAAAATATTGGTAATGAGTTTGTTGAGTTCTGCAGTTTTATACTGGCTAAGACGATTTGAAATACTGTACTGTATTGTCATTCTTATTATGAATTTAGTGCAAAAAAATCTTTTCATGCATTTTTGGCTTTAGAATTTAGTGTAATTTATCTTTAAAATCTTTACTTTCCACAAGATCTTTATCTGGTTTGAACTTTTTGTTGTCAAAATAAGCCACTAGTGGATGCAAAGAATATACACAAAGTGTATACATTTTGGATTTTTATAAGTGCCCATTTTTCCAGGGATATCATGTGCCTTAAACGCAAGACTCTGATAATGTTCATGGGTGTGTATATGGGATATCACTATAGCTACAAGTACTTCATGGCCAATGGGAATGTGGTGACGCCTGCCCCTGCACACCCACGCAAATTGCAGTTGATCAAGGCAAGCTTGAGCCTCCAGAACTTGCGGGATGCCTGCAATACCTACGGGGCCAGCAAACTTTCATTTTTGTTTGCCATTTGTTTCTATATGGCTGTTGGTTAGTAGTACAGGCATCATTATTATTATTCGTTACTGCTGTATCTTATATACTGTATATATATGTGTGTGTGTAGTTATATGCATAGCAATTGATTTTGTTTAACAAATAATATTGTCTTTGCAGCAATAGCGATAAGTTTGATGTATGGTGGGACGTGGCAAGAGTGGCTGGTGATCTTTGACTTGTCACTGATGATGATGACCATGCTGGCCACTGTGCTCCTGGCCATCAGTCTCGCCCTCTTCTCTCAGGTCTTCCATATTTTTATAACAGAGGTCAGTTAAAGAAGTATTTGCATGGAATTTTCCCAAATTGTTTGACTGTTTGCTACAAGTACAATCATTGTTGGCATTGATCAGGTCATTGTTGCCATTGCTCGGTTCATTGTTGACATTGATAAGAATATTTGGTTGAGAATATTAAGGAAGTGTGCAAGAGTTCCACGAACAGATGGAAGATGAAGTACAAATACTTGTGGGATCAAATGGAGAGTGCAGATGATTAACAAATAAAGGCATGTTATAGATGAAAAATAAATTAGGGGTGGGGGGCAAGACAGAAGGCATATGATGAAAGTATAAAATATGTGAAAAAGATTTATTTAGTAGACAAAAAATGGTGCATATGAAATAGAAACAAAATCAAACAAACTTATTCAGAAAGTGGGAAAACTCATGGAAAGACAAAGAATTGCAGCAGACTGGTGAAGGTTAACATGAAAGGTTAAGGTTAACATGGGAGAAATATCCAACTTTGTAAGCTGGAAACCAGGTAATAATGAAGCTTGCATTGCTTTCTTAATTTGTTTTTTACAGGAGAATAATACAAATATTTTGTTATCAGCCTGTTGAGATTCCAGTTGCCACCGAAGAGGACAGCAACCCTGAAGCAGATGGATGCTCATGGAGGCTTTGTCATGCCCTCAGCTCCTCTGGTCTCCTCCAACTTCTAGCATTCTATGACCTCAAGTCACTGGCAGCTTCAGACCCTAGAAACTTTGCTAGACGTTCTCAAGTTTTCACCATCAGTCAACCAGGTTATTACTCATGATCTTTTATTTGTTTTTTAAATAAAGAGAAGCAGTTACTTCATGTCACACTAGTTACATGCAAATATGTTTCTTTGCACTGTGCTGCAAGTATTATCATGGATACAAATAAAATGTTTCATAGTACGATTCATATATTGGAAGTTTTGTCCAAAAACATTGACTTAAAAATGTGTTTAAAATGGCAGATTGCTGAGAAATGCGTAATCATTTATATCATAATATACCCCATCTAGTATAGTATACTAGATGGGGTACCCAGTGGTGCCCAGATGGTGCTCCCAATACAATAGTCCTCCCCCCACCTTCCCCCCTCCCTCTCTTGTCCTGAACCTCTTCATGCCCCCTAGTCCCTAGCATCTGGCCTCTGACTTTACACACACATTCTCTTATAATATAGATATGAGGGATGGTGCTACATAGCCTTCCTGGCTTGGTGCCTTCTTTGATAATTACTAGATATGAGGGAATGACTGTATGAAGTTGGAGATTAGATGCTTGTGGCTAGCTTCGCCCAACTTTGCAAGGCAAGGGGTATGTGGTATGGGATGGACATCAATTAGTCAGGGTTGATCCTATTATTCCTATTAAGAGGGAGGGTCAGGCCGAATAGTCACTCCCCTCGCACCTAATCTGTGAAAGGTCCCTAATGAATGTGAATTCAGAATTACTGAGAGTGGAATAGAGGGGGAGAGAAGGAAGCAGAATGGGAGAGGGGAAGATGTTTCAAGAGAGGGAAGGAGATGGGGGGGGGGATATTTGAAGAGTGGGGAGAAGAGAGACGGGGAGATCTTGAAGAAGAAAGTTCAAAGGGGAAGTTATAGGGGGAAGAGAGACCTGGGTGGAGCTGGGTAGCTGCACCCAGGCACCATCTTTTCCCTCAGATCCTGAGTGCAGCTGGGTAGCACCCCCTAATGAAAGCTTGCACAAGTTAAAATAGTACACAAAGTATTGAGTACATTTTATATATTAATGATATTTCATCTTTATGAATGTAAGGTGGTCATCCTCGGAACTGGCTCGGCATCGTGAATCCCTCTCTCAATCTGATTCGTAAATTCTGTGAAAGGCTCCGTAAACACAACTGCCCAGAGAGCCTCCCTAAGGTGTCCCCTGTTCCTGCTGGGACAGGATTTGCCCCAACTGATGTCAACAAGAATGAAGTTGCCAAGCTGCCACAGGTTCCACTTAAGGAGAGACTAATAAATGTACGGAATTTGATATTTTGTTGTTACAGTATTACATGTTTGCCATTATAGACTACATAGTTTCATAATGTAAAAACTTATGTATTGTGTGTGTTTATGTATTGTGAATATAAATCAGTTTTAATATGTTCTTTCCTATCAGGGACTTAGGGGAATGATTTATTCACTGAACAAAGTGGAGAAAGCAGCATGTATAAACCACTTAAACAAAAGACTTAGCACACAGCCTCATAATTTTGAGGACAGATGTAATTGTGAAACAATTTTCACAAGTATAAAAGGAAAAATTACTGGATGCAGTAATTAAATTATGCCAACCAAGATTGGGCCAGAATTACCTGTCAACATGTGTTAAAACATCATTTGATCAGTAAAAATAAAGTATGTGGTACCTGTACTCCAAATGGGTTGTTAGAAGCCTAACTAATCAGGTGGTCACAAAGAAAATCTGGCAGCAAGAGAAGATATTGCAAAATATTTTTTCAGATGATCTGTGCAGTTTTAGTTTATCCTGAAACTTAATTCCTTAAGTATAAGTTACTTCTTGATCTCTTAAGATTTTGATGCAATTTTTTCTTTATGTTCACTAAAAATGTTCTTCCGCTACAATTTTTTCTTTAACCAAATATTGTGCGTAGATTGGAAAGATATGCTTATTAGTTTATCAAAAGTCTTTAATTTCTGATTTTCCTGATGACTTGTTTTCATTGTTCAGGTTATAATGGGTTTGAAAAGATTTCCAATATTCGGATATTTTTTGTCTGACCTTCCTGACTCCACTAACCGAAGCATCTTCGCTGAAGGGCTGCCTGTCATATGGGCTATTCAGGGTAAGTGAAATAAGGCTATATAAATTGGTAAGATAAAAATAATTGTAAAGATATTTTAACAACATTTGCATTGATATCTTGCTAATTTCAGATGGTTTTTTGGGAATTGTACTCTTATATCAATAGAAAGTTATGAAAGGTATCCTCTGTATTTGAACAGATACAGCTCCAGTAATTTGTAATAATTCCAATTGTATTGTAGCTCTTGGGGACCTGACAGCAGCATCCTTCACAGAAGACAAATATGGTGTAGTACAGAGGAACATACCAGATATACTAATGGCTTTCACTCAACTGCAGAAGGTATGGTAGTGTCCTCCTGCTCCCAGTCTTGTTAAAGAAGTACATTATTTATAGTGACTGTTGCTAGTTAGTATTTGAAGTGAGAAATAAGTCAAATAACATTGGTAAAATACTGTACAAAGTTTCACAGCAAATTATAACATACAAGAGATAATGGAAATATATTTGAAGACCATTATTTTCATCTTGACTTTCTAAGTAAGTTACCTAAGGCATGTATTTATAGCTCAGTGCATTGTTTATCATTGTACTGTGCTTGGAATTATAAACTTGCACAGACATTGAAAACAGAATTTGTCTTTATTGGAGTATATTTTGGCAGGTGGTGGATGGCTTGGGTCGAGTAACATTGGCCAGGAGAGCAGGCACGGGGGAAAGTCTACCTGCTGAGTTACAGTTGAGGAAAGCACTCAGATTTTCCCTCAGATCAGCATTATACACAATCACCACAACTTTTGGCCATACTGTATTGTAAGTACTTGAAAAGTTCTGATAATGCATATTTTTTTATGTTTTTATTTTCAGCATTAAGAGAAACCAATACAAAATTTGTTTTGCAATAATTTTCTTTTAACAGCATGTGATATGAGAACACAAGACTTGGAACATGGTCATGCACACATTACCTGATATATATACAACTTAATGCTATTAATTTAGGATTGTGATAAAACTAAGTATAATTTTCTGCTCAGGGAGATGCAAGTATCATGTGAGTGTCAGAATAAATTGCTGTCTTACTTGGAATTCAAAGAAGGTTGATACTGCAAGGGACACATCTGACTTGTACGAAATTTCACTATGATCACTGGAAGAGGAAATAATAGCTTTCGGCACCTGTCGGACAACTGCATCAGAGCTTTTGCTTATTTCAGACTTGCACAACAAGACTATCTGTTAAGAGTTCTGACACAACTGAGACATCCTTGTGATCATGGGAGAAAATAAGCAATATTCTGCAAATAGTAGAGAAAGGGATGTTTTGTGACATGCAGTAAAAGTGTTGTCCACAGGCTGGCTGTGCCATAGAGGTTTCCCTAACCATTTGAAATAAAGTGACAGAAACCTTTTTTTCTTATGGTGGGCTCTAGTTATAATTAATTACCTAAGTGTGGTTACAGGATAAGAGCTACACTTGAGGTGTCCCGTCTTCCCAGTACTTTTTGTCATGTGTTGATGAGTATTTGCATTCAAGGATAAGAGCGCTGGAGTTATGCATCTTAGCATTTTGGACTGCTGTCAATGTATTGCTTGGGGAAGCTTCCAGTAAGTCATTTGAAAGTTGTCAAAGGACGTGAGAAGTGTTAAAGCTTCAAGTGTCAGTTGCTAAGTGCATTCTTGTGCATATGAAAAAGTAGTGAAAACATTAGTTTTATAATTTGGCCTTTTTTTTTTATTTTTAATCCATATGCATTTACTACCTAATAAAAGGTGATGAAAGATCAAACTTTCCTGGAGATGGACGCTCAGGAAGTATTGATGCTTCTGGACCATAAGGATTGATATTATGGATAATGAATTTTTTCCAATAATATGGTACAGGTGTACTTAATTTTTTAAGATATAATTTCACATACAATGTCAAATTTGAAAAATACTCAGTGTAACCATATTCTAAAGATGCTACAGAATTACACTTGCTGACTTTAGACTTTAAAACTGACTTGTTTGTGTTTTAATGGTAATATATCTTATGTGAGAGGGTGAACTTAGATTTTGGGGGCTTATTCTGTATATGATTGAGACTTCTTCCTTTCTTCCTTATACTTCCCTCTAGGAAGATGCTTATTTGATTTTGGTATAAATTTGTTCTGTACCCTTTATCCTCTTAAGGCTGCTATTCTCAGAGGCCTACACCTTTCGTGTACAAGATAGCTGATGGATGGAAGGGTTAAAATACTGATGGTGATAACTTGCTAGTTGATCGTCGTCTTGGTAGGTGGAGTGATATCCATGCTCTTCACTACAGACTCGGTTATTCAATCTTGTCATAGTCTGTAACTCGTCTGACTTTAACCTCGGTAAAGGAATTCATTTCCACAGGTTTGTGGAGAATTCTGTATAAAATTCACACAATTTTGAAAGAATTGTTTTCTTATCTTTGCAGTTGTATATGTTAAATATGACAGAAAAGGGAACCATCTATTGTCATGCTTAGTTTGACATTTTTAAAATAAGGCATAAATTTCAAGAAGAAAAATTAGTAAAGGGTTGGTTGTAAATAAATATTAACTTTCATTACAAAATGAATTATAACACTGGCTACACATGACTAAGAGGAAGGTGTGATACACCCAGTATTTATGGGTAAGAACCATCTATATATATACACACATATATAGATGGTTAGTATATGGTGGACTCGAGTAGATTTCAAGTGAGGGTTCTCTTGTTTATGTGTATGTCCTTGAAAACCAAAGTTTAATGTACTATACATGTCATCAGTTGCTCTTTTTATATAAAAGGAATAAAAAAAAGTTTTTGTTTAATTTCCTCTTGGTCTAGGTTAAGCAAGAAAGGCTGTTAAATGTTAGAGGAAGTTCTAAACTGTATTATGCTGTCTTCATTTTTTAATGTTGCATAAGTGTGCCTTATTTTTTGTTTACATCCAAATTGTTTTATACAAAGGCATGTCAAAACATTACATTTCTACTTAAACTTAATAAACTAAAAATTAGATATAAATTTTTTTATATACACTGAAAATATAATGTTGTAAATTAAGGAGTGATCTTTAAGGCTTGTTAGATCAAAAATGTTGGTGTATTAATCGAGTGCTTCGTTAACACGAATGTTGGGAAAGAGCAGTGGATGGTGTCCATCAATTTATTTATAAAGTGATTTACATTGCCAAATAAATGGTATACACTGTGTGAGAGGTTGTGTGTGTGTTACTGTGATGCCTCGTACCCAAAGGTGGGTACACGTTCCTCAAAAAGAACCAGCAGTCAGTCCTTTCAGAAGAAATTAACTATTAACAAACAAATCCATAGGAGCCTCAATGAGGGTTCGAAACTATGCACCGAGTGTTTCCAGATGCACTCAATGTGTCCATTAAAAAAATAATTTGTGCAACCCATTAAATAAAAGTACAGTACTGTAATGGAATAGTAATTAACATTTACATATATATAAACACAAGGCTGTTGAAAGAAACATTAAACATATTTCATTATTAAAATCTAAAATGGTAACTAAAAGACATTATTTTACAATTATATATTATATTTACAACTCTGCTACATACATTCATTCGGTACAATGCAACATTAAATACTGTAAAAGGCAAGCCTTAAACATGTGTGGAATAACCCTTAAGGTTATAGCATGGAGATGCTGACCCATATTCTATCATAATAAATGACTTACACTTATGGCATTTAGTATAGAGCTTGGGTCACATTAATGGACCTGCCACGTCTGCCAAGCAAGATCCACACAGGTGGATCCTTATCTGTACTCTGAAGGAGTATATAATAAATTTAAGTAAAAAGATTATATGTATTATTACATGTGTACCCCACTTAGCTATGCTCATCACTTCAGTGCCAAAAAAGACTCGTGTTTATATCATGATTATATAATTAAGAGAAATAAATAAAACCATTGTTACACAGTAATTTTAAAAACAATAAATGGGATTCTGGAAATGTAGAGAAAGAACAAGCTTCAATACTGAACTTTCTTAAATCTTTCATGTTGAGTGACTAACATGTTGCATGGTGAGCATAGTTGGTTGAGGACAACACTAGTCCTGAGTCTATTACTTAACCTCTATGGCATCACATAAAGGGTACCATATCTTCCTAGAAGTGGCCACATATTGGAGTTTCCTGTTCTGGCCTCAAGACTGTATCGATGACATGTATTACCCCATTAGTAGCAATGATGTCGTGCTTGATGACTCTAGTTGCCTGCCCCACTCCAGCTAAACGACCTAAAAATAAAAAAGGAGAATATGCCATTTTGTGTAATAAAGCTGCAGTAACGTCACATATTAAGTTAGATAAGGGAACAAGTCACAATACTATAACTGGAAAAAATGCAAACTAAAATCAATAACACTTTGGCCTGTTCTGTGACAGTTTATTTACTGCATAAATATTCATATGTTATTGTTGTTGACTCCAAGTGCTGTAATGGTTCTAACCTTAACCCTTCTTATACTTTTGTAATGGAAATTCAACGTTGGTTATGACTACTTTAGCAGCTATAAGTAGAACTTTGCTGGGTGCTCAGCCATATTAATGTTGCCTCAAATGACTTAACAGATGCAGCAGTTCAGACTGCTCTTTGAATGTTTACTATTTTCAACAAAGCTATCCCTTCCTCAGATTACCTTCCTGCCCAATCTTCTCAAGAACTTTGCACATGTAGAATGGCAGGGGGAAATGGGTCAGAATTATTGAATACACCAGATACAGTTTTCACAATACGGTATTAATTTGCAACTAGTTGCACGTTATGTACAGGCACACGTTAATAGATTTAGAACGTAATTTCTTTGGTGTAGGCATTATTGAGCTGTTGTAACTCAATTGCGTTTCATTTTTGGATGCATGATTACTAAACTATTAGTGTCAGGTAAGCTTGTGCATAGTGTCTGCAGAGCAAGCACTTTGGCACAAGACTAAATAAGTTATCCCTTGCCTACGATTTACCACAGGGGTCAGTATAGTTATTTATTTATGGTTATCTCTGACATGATAACCATTTATTATCATGTAAGAGATAACCATAAATTTATATGGTTAAATTTAGGGATAGCTTTGATGATTATAAGTTTATTTATTAAGTTATTTTATAGTTATCTCTTACATGTTACTATGTAAGAGAAATCAATGTCTGCAATAAGGATAAAAATAAGAGATACTCAGCACTTACGTGTGTATCCATCACTGGTGATCCGAACCTGCAGTTCCTGCTCCTGGGCCAGAGTTGGAAGCCACATACCGTCACGTAAACCCTCACTGAAGTAAGCTCCAGGAACTATGTGGTACATGAGTACATCTGTGGATCAGTTACCCAAAGGTCAGCTATACTCAAGATTAATCAGTTCTCATCATACAAGTATCTACCACTCCATGGTCTCTCATATTCCAGATGTTGGAAGCAATCACCTGTGTAATTCTAAGGGTAATTTCCACTCATAAACTTCTGTTGTGGCCAGCAATTCTGACATGGAAATCGATCATCATAGGTGGATATAATGGTGAAAGACTTATCGAACTATAGTACCAAGTCACTGGTTCGCTCCAAAGTTTCTCTCCGTGACAGCTGGAACTCGAGAGACGAATTTCATTCAGTAAAGTGATTCTCAAACTGTTTTCTTAAATTTTACGGACATTTGTACTTCACCACATACTACTTATATTGTCAATTTCTACGGCACTAACTCTTGATTGTTTATATCCATTTATCTCTCTCTCTCTCTCTCTCTCTCTCTCTCTCTCTCTCTCTCTCTCTCTCTCTCTCTCTCTCTCTCTCTACAGGGATTGTGAAAAAAAGTTTCCTTTCACATACATCAGTAAAGGATATAGAACAATCATTTCATACTATCATAAACTCCACTGCGCTCCTGCAAACTTCCCCCCCTCCCACAATTCCCCGACTTACGTTGCAACAAGGTGATATTTTGAATGAAGCTGGACACAGTGGCATTGTCAATGGCAGCAAATGCATCAGTGGTTGGGAGAAACACAGTGAAAGGTCCCTCCTGTTCCAGCACCGGCATCAGACCGGCGCCCTTCACTGCAACGTTGGCTCCTGTCAACCAACAAAGAAGTTATATTATTCATTAGGGTGGATGAGGAGCTTACCCACTAGGTACAAAATCCAAGGTGTAAATGCCGTCTTTGCCACTGCTGTTGGACATTGTGCAAACTGGGACTGTTCAAGAGTAACGCTGAATAAACGTTATCAACATTGGTTCAACGTTGAATTACCGTTGATAATGTTGAGTCAACGTTGCATTAACGTTATTTGGGTGTTGCTCTACAGTACAGGCTCTACTACAATTTTTGAGAAATAGAATATGTAACAGGTAAAATCTAACTTTAAACATACCTGTGAATTACAATGACATGACCTAAAAAGTTAGAATCTCCATATTATTGTGAGCAAATTTAATCTTCTAAAGTCTAAACACTAGGCTTCAAATCACGTTAGTTAACAGACACTGTGCAAAACGTTGTGAGATTATGAGCTTAGCTAGCAATGAGAAAGTTATGAGTCAACTCTCATTCTGTGATTATTAAAAAAAGGTATCACTCATATTTTACCTGTTGGCCAGTGTCTAGTCTAGTGGTATATATATATTGAACATTTTTGTAAAACCGTCTCGTGCTTTTAATGTTATCCATTATCATATTTGTAGACTTTTTTATATATTTTTTTCAGTAGATTATATAATCTTGAGTGGTATTTATTGATGGTAGAGACAAAAGTTCATGACCTGACTGCTGTGTGCTAAAGTTATATTACATAAGCTACAGCCCGAGCACTCAATCGAATGTAATTTAATATTACATATCCCATAGTTTAATGACACAAATATTTTAAACATGATAAAAATTAAAGTTAATCATCAAAATAATTTAATAATAAACCGCTCTAATATGTGATAAAACATTATCACTGATGGAAATACAAGAAATGAAAGACATGAGGAAGATGAGATAATTTACCAGTGAAGGTCTCACAGGCGGAGAGGTGGTCGGTGATGGAGAGGTCCGTCATCGGGTACAGGACGCGGTCGATTACGTGGATAACACCATTTGTGGCCAGCATGTCCTCCTGTAATATCCGCGCCCCATTGACGGTCACCACCTGCAGATACGGGTAAGGTTAGGTACACCACTTAAGTCTTCCTCACTACACGTACACCGTATAGTTTATTGCTTCAGAATATAAATCACGCACATTTTCTCTCTCTCTCTCTTCATTCTCTCTCTCTCTCTTCATTCTCTCTCTCGTTCTCCATCTCTCCTCTCCCCCTCTCTCTTTGTTTCCTCCCTCCCTCCATGGCCCTACTCCTCACCTTATCATCTGGGCCACCACCGTTGAGGAAGACATTGACTCTCAGCTTGCGACCTTTGGGTGAGGTGGAGCTCAGCATGTCATTGTTGCCCAACTGGTGAAGGCGGAGAGTGCCAGGGACCACGTGGAAGAGGACCACCTCCCGCAGCTTGTCCGTGTTGTTCTGGAGAAGGGAGACGAGAGAGCGAGGCAGCTGGGTAAAGGCAGAGTCAGTTGGCGCGAAGATAGTGAAGCCGCCTGTGGAGGGCCAAGAACACACATCACAGGGTTGGTGCATGACTATCAGTGGAAATAAACGAATGAGTAAATCAACAGTACTCACGGAGCATTAATTATTGCTACCTGGACACGGGGAATTGGGTTTGAGTACCTCGTAATTACCCCAGCAGGCCTGGTTGATACCTGGTTGATGGGGTTCTGGGAGTTCTTCTACTCCCCAAGCCCGGCCAGAGGCCAGGCTTGACTTGTGAGAGTTTGGTCCACCAGGCCTGTTAGACTTCTGGAAATGTTTTCACACCTCACCAAAATACAAAATTGTAGATTTTGTTGATAATTCTCCGCGAACACACGCAGGGGCTCGTGGCTAACACGAACTCTCCTCCAAGCATCACTGAACAGCTCGAGGTCACAAATTTTCCCACCTGAGTGCACGCGTGTGCCATACTGGTCTTGCTGAGCATATACTGTATGACAATTAGCATGATAACTGTTGCCTGACTCACTCCCCCCTTTCTCTCCCTCACGCCACCACCCATCCCTCATCTTTCTCTCCCTCACGCCACCACCTCTCCCTCATTCTTCACTCCACACACATTATACTATATAGAACACACAGTATAATATATACAACACAGTATAATATAAACAAAACACGGTATACTAAACACAGTATACTACACACCATACGTCACATACACAGCCCTATACCATCTCACCATACCTAACCACTCAATTAGAAAGGGCTTCAATAAAGGCGGCGAGGCAAGCCAACTCCACAAATTAATGACTAACCATTTTGACTCCATCAGTGATACACTTTCCTGCTGTTGATCATGATGATTATTGAGGATCATGATGGTGGTGTTACAAGGTGGGTCTACCCTGGCTATGGTGGTGGTGTTACAGGGTGGGTCTACCCTGCCTGTGGTGGTGGTGTTACAGGGTGGGTCTACCCTGGCTGTGGTGGTGGTGTTACAGGGTGGGTCTACCCTGGCTATGGTGGTGGTGTTACAGGGTGGGTCTACCCTGCCTGTGGTGGTGGTGTTACAGGGTGGGTCTACCCTGGCTGTGGTGGTGGTGTTACAGGGTGGGTCTACCCTGGCTATGGTGGTGGTGTTACAGGGTGGGTCTACCCTGCCTGTGGTGGTGGTGTTACAGGGTGGGTCTACCCTGGCTGTGGTGGTGGTGTTACAGGGTGGGTCTACCCTGGCTATGGTGGTGGTGTTACAGGGTGGGTCTACCCTGCCTGTGGTGGTGGTGTTACAGGGTGGGTCTACCCTGGCTGTGGTGGTGGTGTTACAGGGTGGGTCTACCCTGGCTGTGGTGGTGGTGTTACAGGGTGGGTCTACCCTCGCTGTGGTGGTGGTGTTACAGGGTGGGTCTACCCTGGCTGTGGTGGTGGTGTTACAGGGTGAGTCTACCCCTGGTTAAAGACTTGTTATAAATGTCACAAAACTACGTTGATACAATTAGCCTTTCAATGATACTCTATAAGTTAATGGTAATAACAAATTTGATTAAGAAACTATCAGTAGCACAGTAAGCAAGCTCACTATCTACTCCGTCGATGAAGTCTCCAAGAAATACACTGGTGATTAGTACAATAATCTAAATATTAATAATATTGACAATGCTATGTACATAAATAATAACAGTAATAACAATAAATCTGAATTATATAATTCCCACTGGTTATAAGGTGAGGGTCGCCGGGGTTATCCATTACACTTGACCTAACCAAGAGAACCATTGACTACGCGCTGGTAGCGTCACGCAGTCACGTGTTGTATGTAAACATGAGGAAGGCGGTAGTCAAGGGCCGGGTGTGTCCACACCCTCTCTCCTTGGCCTCTCTCTCCTCTCTGCTCTTCCACTTAAAATACGCGTCAGACCTCGGCCCATACGTGACTGTCCCCCCTGCGCCCCCCAGCCTCTTCATTCACCCGTACAATGCCCCCGTCCCCCTTAGTCGTTCACAGCCACACATGCATAAAGAGGATCCTGTAGTTGAACACCGCCTCACTCCCCAAACCTATGGCTGAACACCCCCTTATCCCACCCAACCCCGCTGTTGAACACCGTCCCACTCTGTACCTTGTGGTTGAATACGTGTCCCCCCCCCCCTCCAGCTCTATGGAGGAACACCCCACCTCTCACCCCTATGGTTGAACACCCTTCCCCATCGCAGTACCTCTTTCACAGTCCCAAGACAAAGTGTTTCCTCATCACGATAAGTGTTTGAGGGAGACGGGTGTCGTGCCGAGTCTCCGGGAAAGGTTTTTTATGTGTGTAGGAAAAACTTGTAGAATGAAACAAAAGTGCTAGTGAAGGGGGAATACTATGGAAGTATTAGAAAGTGGCTGCGTGAGTCGGGGGAAGGCTAGGGTAGAGGGAGAGGGAAAGTGAGAGTTAGAGGTAGGGAGAGGGAAAGATAAATTGGGATAGTGAAGGAGGAAAAGACTTTTGCTTTCTAAGAGTAAACAACGAAGTAAAGGAATTGGATATAAGTAAAGACAAAGATTGGTATATAAATGTTATTAACTGGTATTGTTCACATCATCGACGCCTAATTTCTTGATTGCCTCCAATTCTCTACTCTCTCGCTTCCCTTCCCTCCCCCTCCTTCTCGTAACTCTTTCCTCCCACCCCTCCCGTCTTTCCCACCACCTATGGCCCTCAGGAAATATAATAAAAAAAGAGCTGCGATGCGCGTAACTTCCTGAGAGGGAAACAATAAGGGACTCATGTATGGAGGTCGAAGGTCGCAACAATGTTTGTTGCGGTGGAAGAAACAGCTGATCATTACGTAATTATTGTGTCAACACTGCATTAAGGGGCGAGTAGTAAGATCTTAATTGGTCAGGAGTGAAAGTCACCGAGGTAGAGAAAGAGGCGGTATCAGTCACAGGAAAAGGGTGAAACAGAGAGTATGTCATAAGAGGCTAATGTTCTCAAGGTTCCCACCTCCCTTAACTTCGTGGACAACACTAAAAACCTATTTGCAGAAGACGAACTAGTTGGTAAATAATAGAGTTATGGATTCAAAGTTCTTCAGGGCAGGACACATTCTACCCATATGAATGATTCCCAGATGCAGCCCGTCCTCCAAATAAAGATCCAAAAGTGATTCCATGCACCCACCAAACCCCCTGTTTATGAATGAAAAGCGGGTTACACACGACTCACAACTGCTGACGTTCGAACATATCCGGAACAAGTGCTTCCATGACGAATTTTGTTCGAATCACAACGCTATAAATGCTTCACCCACGTACTACAAATACAAATAATCGCCAACAGAACCTAAACACCTAACCTAACCTATGCCTATATATGCACAATATGCTAATATATTATAATATTAATTTATATTTGAGAAAATTTCCGTTTTGAATGAACAGCATGTAAAAAATTATGAATGCGTCTGTGGGGTCGACCGCTGGATGTAATGGACTTGAGTTGAGGACGGGTTGACTTCACTTGCAAAATTAAAATCTGAGGACAGGTTGGCAGTTTATTAAAACAATGAAAACATTATGTTGTGTAAGATCAAATATGATCACTAGAACTGTTGTGACCGCGGATCGAGGAGGAAGCACCTTACCTGACGGACAATATTGTATGGTAAGAGATATCCCATATTCACACAGTTCGGTACTTAATGTATCGTAAGGTATTCCCCACGTATTAGCAGTTCAGCTGTGACTCTTGTACAGATAAAGAGCATACGATTTGAGATCACTTTTTAACTGATCTCTGATGTGAATTTGTTTTTATTTGCGGGTCACCTCGACCCAGCACCGCCAGGCAACCGGACAACTGTTACTGACGAATCAATGGATGAGGACCCGAGGTACACTAAAGCAATATGGTACTTTCCCAGTTTCCTCTTCCTCCCTCCTGGGGTTGAAGAGGGGATGAGGAGCCTGACGCTGGAGGGGAAAGTTGGGGGGAGGAGGTGGGAGTGTGACGTAAAAGGCCTGGGAAAACTTTCGGACATTTAAGTTAAGTTATAAAACTTGGCGGGAGTGGAAAAATACCTGTCAACACCTGGCTTAGCAGGTAATTGGGGGGCCTTTCTTATTTTGCTATCCTGTTCTGCTCTAACTAGCAAGATAAGTAGGTAACTTAGTTGTGGAACAAGGTCTTCTTTTATGGGTTTTCTTCATTTACTCTTCTGTTCCTGTTTTCCCCACTCTATTTCTCCTTCCTCTGTTTGGATGTCCATGTTTAAACACTCACTCACTGACAAGGTGTGCGAAAAATTTAATAAAAGATTCCAGGTCTTTACAATAGAGACTGAATAGCGAGAGGTGACGATAAACCGATAAGTTTCGGAAATTTTTTAAATTACTAGAAATGAAATTAGGAGGTATGTGCTGGAACTGGACGTGCCAAAGGCTGTAGGACCTATGGTGTGGTCACTGAGGGACACAGTCAAACCTGTCCTCACACTTAATCAACCAGAATTTGGCGATTCGACCACAGCATCAGAATTATGGTGCAATATTGAAATTAATAGCCTCAATATTGAGGGTTCCTCTGACTGATGGACCTCGGTCTCAATAGGTAAGTTACCTAGGTTTGTACCCTTTTGGTTAGGGAAAATCACTTCAAATTGTATGCTTGTCACAGAACAAGAACGAGGGAATAGTGTCGGACGAGACATCAGAGCCGTGTTAAGAGCGCAGTGCATGAAGGGACTTAACTATAGGGCCTCTCCTGTTTAATGAGTTAGGTGGATAGGAATAGGAGTGAGAAAATCTCTTCAATATCACTGAATGAAGGGATGACTTCTTTATCGCTAGTACCAGGGTAATGCCCGTAGGGTACAGCTGGCCTTTGTATTCCTTGAGAGACGGCGAGTTTAAGCTCATTTTCATTAGGTTAAGTTATAAACGTAACATGATAATCTTATATAATAATACGTATTATACAAGGTTCACCTCCTGCTTGTGGCACGGCAGTGCTCGCGTGATATTCAGTGAAAAGCTTGGAGAGGTGGAGGTAAATTAACCACAGATGACGCCTCCATCAGTGTCTGGCTGGCTCCGCTCTCCCCCCTCCATCTGTACTGTTTCCTTCCTTCTGCCTACCTCTCTGACTCTTTCCTTCTCTCTCGCTATTCTTCCATCTCTTTCCCTCCTTCTTTCCATTTCTTACAGAACACCACCATTATTTTCGTTAATGCTCGGGAAAAGTTTTGATTTATGTAACCAGATCATAATTTGTTGTGGCCAACCTGAGTGCAGCTCTGTGATGTGTGGCCGGCTGGTGGGCTGTCCATCGTGCCGCCTCCACCTACCCTACCCTACCCTACCCTAAGCCTAGCCGTCTAGCCCAGCCTACCTTAGCCTGTGCCTTGCCTAGCTTACTTTAGCTTAACCTATGCACTGAATATGCCTAGCCTAGTCTACCTTAGCCTATGCCTAGCTTACTTTAACCTAGCCTATGCACTGAGTATGCCTATCCTAGCTTATGCACTGAATATGCCTAGCCTAGCCTATGCTTAGCCTAATCTACCCTACGCCTAACCTAGCTTACAAAACTTTCATCGTATTCGCTCCCTGAAGTGCCACCTTTATCATCTCCCTCCTCCACTGACACGGCAACTGCCACTTCTTTCCCCATCACCACTACTGTCACCATTATCAATACCACAATCACCATCATCATCAGCATCTTCAAACCCACCACGACAAATATCAAACAGAAATCAATATCTATTATGTAGAAACTTCATACTCTCTATCATTATCTAATCTGCGCCGCTTCCAATAACTAGTTACTACTAACACCACCAGCAGGGTCAGTAAACCGGTCACCACCACCCCTACACCTGCTACACCCCCCCTACACCTCCCCCCCCCCCCTATTTCTGCACACACCCCCTCCTACACCTGCCTACACCACCACCCCTATTCACCTGCCTACACCACTAGCCCCCCTCCCTGCACTAAGTAGGTCATACCTACCCCAGTAGACAGCCAGCATCCACAGAGGACCTGCAAGCTTCGAACTTGCAGCAGAGGAGCCAGCACCGTACGCCGCCCTACTGAGCCTTCCTCGCCAGGTGTTGTCAGAGAGAGTGAGCGCCAGACCGCGCTCCACGATACGTCGAATACTTTGTCATATTCCTTACACTTGCAGCAGAGCAAATGATTGATAAATCATTTCGCTGGAGCCGTATGAATAAATAAAACGACAGAAGGCCTATTGACCCATATATAGTATACCCAATCTAACTCGTTCATAAATGTCTAACCTACGCTTGAAACAATTGGCAATCCCACAACTCTCATATTACCCGGTAATTTGTTCCATGAATTAACAACCCTCTCGCCAAACTAATATTTTATAAAGCCTTTCTGAATGCAAACGTTTCGGGCAGGTCCTTAATCTAACAAATAATTTGATGTAGGTAAATTCTAGCAGAATTTATATAATAACAGGTACATTGCAAGAAAAAAATGAGATGAGAGAGATTAGTAGGTATATTAAAGCACATCGGTAGCTCTGATTGATTGCATTGACAGCTTTAACAAAGATTAATAGGCACAATACAGCATATTGATAGCACATATAAGAAGACAGCAATGATCTTGCAAGGGATGCAGCAACCCCTGCAATAAACTGGTGACTATTCTGGGCTGGAGAGAACCTGGATGTGTCAGCCACTTTTACCAGCTAGAGCTTCGTTTTCGTTACCATCCGACTGAAAGTTAACGAAAGTTACTTAACGTCTGTTGCAGTCAGACTGGCTTGTTTGAGGCAGCATCCACGGACAGTTCTGCCTATAACACACACACACACACACACACACACACACACACACACACACACACACACACACACACACACACATGCACACACACACGCACATGCACATGCATATGCAGTACACTAACCTCCCACAGCTAGTCAAGGTCATAAATAAATGAGCCACATTAGTTTTATTTAAATTTCTCGTCAAAGTTTCCTGCATTATTGCGGCACTAGGCTGCTGGTGTTAAGTGTATAAAACAAAAAAATTATATTACAAAAAATCAGTTTATGGAATTTAAATGTAATTTAGGATTAGGGACCTGCCCGAAACACTATGTATAATAGAAGCTTTACAAGAATGTAAGAATTATGTGAGTATATATAATATAATTTGTCTGAGCAACAACTCGACCAGTAATTATGTTTGGTAAGTAGGTAAACAACTATGTTATTTGACAACCACAAAACGAGGAGGATTAACTAGGCTCCATGGCAAGGGCAACGATGCAACCTTTCCTCTTACAAACAATTACAATCAACAGGTGGCGCTGATGGCATCACACGTGACGTTACCATCAGCAAAGCAGAAAAAATGGCTCGATCACCAGTGATCCTCAGTGATCGTTTTCCTTAGCTGCCAGAAGGGAGAAAGTTATAGACGTATTGGCCAGTCAAACACATGTCGTGAGGTACTAGATGTGAGAGAGCTACTCCACCCGACTTTCTGGACTGTTAACTGTTAACTGTTAACTGTTAACTGTTTCGTTAACTGTTAACAGTTAACTGTTTCGGCTCTTGGAAGTAAGTTCTTGTGTTGGGGAAGAGTTGTTTGGTAATGTTGACCTGTTTTATCTACTCCCCGCCGCTTGCTGAGCAGTGTTGACATCTTTTGACGGCATTCACGACGTATTTTCATCTAATTTCTTTATAACATTAATTAATTTTCGAACAAACTTTTATTTCTTATTTTAATATATTACATTCATTAGTAGCACAGAAAAAATATCGTGGCTTCAGTAATATCTCCGGAACCTGTACAAATTATTTATGTTTAAATTGGAGATATATATAATTTTATAATATTATTTGCCAATCCTGGAACTATTCGCGTTGAATTTAAAAATTACGTGAGCCAAGCCTCTATATGATGGCGTCTTACTCCATCTATCAGTGGGAGGAGGTCCTTCCGCTACCTCCTCCTCCTCGTGTACCTAGGTATAAGGTAACAAGAGGCCCCACAACACACACGCCATATATATATGAGCTCAGTTGGGTTCGTTCTTAGACTCGCAATCGAGAATCCCGGGCAGGGCAGAAATGGTTGGGCATGTTTCCCTTCACCTATCTTTGTTTACCTAACAAAGATATTAGATGAAAGGAAAATGCATGGCGTTTGACTTTCCATTGGATACTTTCGGTGCCGTGGAGAGGGGGGGGGGGGGGAAACTGCTGCTTGGGTGACAGCTTCTCCGTATCAACCTACCCTGGCTTTGCGCCCTGGAGAGGCCACTCCAGACCGACAACCCGAGCGCAACTCCATAGTTTCCTGTGACTGATGAATACCTACTACTATTATCTAACAGTTAATAGGTACCGAGGAGTTAGTCAACTATTGTGGGTAGTATCCTGGGGAGGGTTAGTAGTTCAACACTGGAGGGGGGGGGACCTCAATATAAGAATAACAGATATATATATGCACAGGCTGCCTATCCCAGACTAAGACAATTATCATTTTGCGCTGAATAACCAAGCCAGACCTAACCCTCCCCCCCCCCAAACAAAACATATCAGTGACAATAAGAGGTCCCAAGAATAGGTTGTTAAACTGTTTACCGGGTCGTATCAAAGGTCCCGAGAGAGACTGTAACTACCCGGTATTGCGTCCGAAATGTTTCAGCGTTGGTGGCCAGATCGCTCTCAGCGGGACACAAGACACACCCATACGGTCCTGATAGAACATGTGACTATATAGTACCCATAGAAGCCACAACGACCTCGGACAACATATTAAATTTATACGTTTTCAAAGCAATGATGAACTATTATGTTGAATTTAAACGTACAATGAATATGGTATTAAATAAAAAGAGAGAGATCCCGGAAGACAGGTCTTACCCTGAGTGGTGAGCATAGCCTCCAGGTTGGCTCGACGGATGAGTGCCATCAGAATATTGAGTTTGAGCTCCTCCATGAGCGCTGAGAACATCATGTTGGACTCTTGCCCCGGCTGGAGCTGCGTGTCGGACTCCCGACTCGGTCTCGCCCCTCCTGCTGCCTGCTTTACGGCGAGGATGGTCTCCTGCGGCCGTCCTCCTGAAAGGGATCGGCCGGCCGGCGAGGCCTCAGTCAGTAGTTCAGCGGCGTCGACAACCCTGGCAAGAGCCTGGGCCGCCGCGTCAGGGCTGCCCTGATCCACCAGCAGGACGTCGTCGGACTCCTCTGTGGCGGATAGCAAGTACGTGTCACCATCGTCCACAGAGACCGGCTCACCCAGGAGTGTGTCACTAGACTTTTGGACACCGTTGGCGGTGGCGTCGTCGAGGTTGATGTAGAGCGGGTGTTCGGTAGAGCTAACGGCTCCCCTGGTGGCGGAGCGGGCGTTATAGGCGGGAACGGCTGCCGTGGTCTTCGTGAGCGGCCGCCAGGAATTTTCTGCCGTTCCTAGTAAGACTTCGTCTTCGTCCAAGAGGTGGCCCATGGTCATGGCGGCGAAGAGAGGAGCATTAATGTGCTGCTCCTGCTGCTCGCCGTACCTGCTGCCCGTTGATCCTGCTGGACCCGCTGGTAAAGCGTTCCGCTTGGATGTTGCACTAACCTGGCTGTATGAACTGGTAGTGCTAGTTCCAGTGACAGCAGCAGTGGGTGCAGGGATACGGTAGCCTGGGGCAGGTGCCTGACCTGAGCCATCCTTAGAGGCACTGTAACCGGCAGGTGAAGGAGCCACGGAGGCCGTGAACCCCCTGAAGGTAATCTTGGGGGCGACGAATCCGCTGGGCGACGGTGACCTCGCGTTGCTGTGCCCGCCTGACGGTGCTGGTGACAGGCTGTAAAGGCTGGGAGGGGTGCTGTAACTGGGGGTCGAAACTGGAAGGGCGCTGTAACTGGGGGTCGAAACTGGAAGGGCGCTGTAACTGGGGGTCGAAGCTGGAGGAGCGCTGTAACTGGGGGTCGAAACTGGAAGGGCGCTGTAACTGGGGGTCGAAGCTGGAGGAGCGCTGTAACTGGGGGTCGAAGCTGGAGGAGCGCTGTAACTGGGGGTCGAAGCTGGTGGGGCGCTGTAACTGGCAGCAGGGGACACGGCGCTGGGGGCCGGGGAAGCACTGTAGCTGGAGGCCGGGGCAGCGCCGTGCCCTCCATGGCCACCACCACTGTGGCCACCACCCCCGTGCCCTCCATGGCCACCACCACTGTGGCCACCACCCCCGTGCCCTCCATGGCCACCACCACTGTGGCCACCACCCCCGTGCCCTCCATGGCCACCACCACTGTGGCCACCACCACTGTGGCCACCAGCAATATAACCCCCACCACTATGACTACTTCCACTGTGTCCACCACCACTACTGTGGCCCCCACCACCATGACCACCTCCACCGTGCCCACCACCCCCACGGCCCCCACCTCCATAACCACCACCACCACCACGACCCCCACCACCATAACCACCAGCAACATGGCCACCTCCATGGCCACCACCACCGTAGTGTGATGGCGGTCGACTGTGGTAGCTAGACTTACCACTGTCTTGACCTTTGGTAAGGAACCTGCCGGCCTTGGTGAGTAAATCACCTTTGAACTGGAGCAAGTTACCCTTCAGACCCAATACATGATTCTTAAGTTTGCTGATCCCGTCGATTATGGGTTCCTTCAGGTTCCTGAGGCTGGTGAAAGCCTGATTTTTAAGCCTTTGCAGACTTTGTAGGGGATTTCCTTTCTCACTTCCACTTCCGCCGTAGCCTCCTCCACCGCCGTAGCCTCCTCCACCGCCGTAGCCTCCTCCTCCACCGTAGCCTCCTCCTCCACCACTGCCACCTTTGCCACTTCTATTGCGATTAAAGGTGGGCCACCTGAAGATGTTCAAGTTTATCCCTGAGGCCAAGCCCAGTACGCCCACCATGAGGACGAGTGCCAGAAGCCGCATGCTGGCCACACTCGCACAAGGATCCCACTCACCACCACTTGTTCAACACCGGTGTTCTGTCACACCTACACCACCCTCAACTCCACTTCACCAGTTTTCCTTTTTCAACACCAGCTGTCTTTTCTAGCATTGTATTCTCAACAGTGTGTGCGCGCGCGCTGAGAACCAGTACAGCTAAAGAAAACTTCTGTGTGATGAAGTCCTGTACTTGGACTCCCGACATAAAACGCCAATATATCCAGAGGAAGACCTCGGTGTGTCTGTAATGGTATGATGCATGTACCGAACACCGGAGCTCTGGTGGATGTTTCAGTGCCGGACTCCCACGCCGTGAAATCCGCAACAGAACGGACTGGAGGCCCCGCTCTCGCAACCCAGAACGGACGAAGGTGTGAGCGAGTCTAAGTCGAAGAGTGCAATGATGCATCGGTTATGCAGCGCCAGCAGCTGGAGGCCCCTACCGCTCGGCGCTCGCTCTCACAACCCCTCCAGACTTTCTCTTTCATTCAGCTGGGTCCGTCCCTCTTTCCCAAACTGCTCATCTTCCTTTTTCTTCTACTTCTGGTCTTCGAGAAGGTTTCTCCTCTTCATCTTCTCTCACGCAAAGGTCTTCTACTTCGTCTGCTTTACCTAGCAGACTCGAAAAGCTGGATCTTCCATAAAAAAACTAGACGAAGAAGAGGACCTTCTAGGGAGACCAAATGAAGAACTTACATGAATTAGACTGTATACATTCTTTTTAACAGACACTCGTTGGAAGCTTCTTGTCTTTGTGGTCTCTCTAGAAGGTCTTGCCTTCGTGAGGTCTCTCTGGAAGGTCTTGCCTTCGTGAGGTCTCTCTGGAAGGTCTTGCCTTCGTGAGGTCTCTCTGGAAGGTCTTGCCTTCGTGAGGTCTCTCTGGAAGGTCTTGCCTTCGTGAGGTCTCTCTGGAAGGTCTTGCCTTCGTGAGGTCTCTCTGGAAGGTCTTGCCTTCGTGAGGTCTCTCTGGAAGGTCTTGCCTTCGTGAGGTCTCTCTGGAAGGTCTTGCCTTCGTGAGGTCTCTCTGGAAGGTCTTGCCTTTGTGAGGTCTCTCTGGAAGGTCTTGCCTTCGTGAGGTCTCTCTGGAAGGTCTTGCCTTCGTGAGGTCTCTCTGGAAGGTCTTGCCTTCGTGAGGTTTCTCTGGAAGGTCATCTCTTCTAGTTTTATTCAAATTTCCTACCCTGTTTTGCTTTTTAGCCGTTTAAGTATTTTATTTATCTTATTCATCCTCCCTCTTCTCCTCTTCCATCTCTCACTACTCCTTTTATCTCTATTTAATTGTCTTCTTCTTTTATATCTTCTTCAAATATCTTCTATATTGTCGACCGTGAAGTCTATTGATCACTCCTAGCTGGGGATCGTCCCAAGCACCTCTCGGCGATATACTCGGTATACCTCATATACCACATATACTCGTATATGTGGACCATATGCAGTGTGTGTGGGTACACCTAGTTGTATTCACCTAGCTGTGATTACAACTAGACACACTACAACAACACACACCTGTGTGTGTGTGTACTCCCCTAGTTGGGTTAGGCTCTAG